TTCATCTTGAGATGGCACACTTACATGTTAAGAAAAATAGGTTAGTGGCTGCTAGCTAGTTAGATATAAAAGATTAAAGAGGTGTCATCAGGCAATCTTATCAGCCTGCATCATCACAGCCATCACGTGCGCTAGATTCGGCCCGCTCGGGCCTGACTAGCTAGAAACAACCAATTCGAGTGTTCCTCCTAGGCCAGGCCGAGTGCTGCTTTAAGTTCCATGTTGTGCAGGTCCAACAGTGCTCATAGGCAACCAAATGGGCCAAACTGCATCCCATGGCCTGGCTGGAGAGGATGGAGGCAATCAAACACATCCAACATCTTCGCCCATCTCTCTTGTGTCCTCTATCCTGTGGGGTTTTGCCCGTCATGGATGGCCTTCTCGAGCTCCTCCAAGTGAACCCCAAGGAAAATAAGGGGCACAACTGCCAGATGGAGGGCACAACGCCGTTGCAAAAAGCCAGCCAGAACTGCAGAAACATGAGGTGTTGCAAAGACCAACAACAGATTGGTTGTTGCATACGAGGGTAGTCGCGCTGCAAGCCGATATGATAGTGTTGCACTGCGAGGCATGCTACGATGGCGTCTTGGCTGCTTTGACGATGCTGGGACGGTGGCATGGCTGCCCTGGTGATGATGCGATGGCATGTTTCGATTGATGCTGGGACAGCTTCTCGGCTGCTTCGACGATGTTGCTCCAGCATGCATCGATGGCAGTAGCAATGTTGCGATGGCATCCCAGCTGCTCCGACGTGCTTTGATGGCAGCGGTGTTGCGTAATGGCATGCTTTGATGGTAGCGGCGATATCGTGATGACATGATTCGAGGATCACGGTGATGGTGTGAGGCATACTGCAATGTCGGTCAGCTGCTTTGACGATGTTGTGATGACATGCTTTGATGGCAGCGGCCATGCTGCGACGCTGGACTGGTTGCTCCAACAATGTTGCGATGGCATACTTCAAAAGTCGCAGCGATGCTGTGAGGCATGCTACGGCTATGCCAAGGATGCGACTCCGAGCACTACTAGAGGGGGTTGTTTTGCACATGTGCTTCTTTGGGGAGGACAAGTGGGTGTGATCAGGCGCATCGAAAGGCAAGGGGAGGTGGCTGATTATTTCTTCTATATGTAGCCATTGGTGGCTACACTGGCTAGAACAAAATTAGACAATAATGAAACTATGCCTACTAGCCAATTGTATGTGCGTTGCAATGGTGGCATACACATTCTAATGGTTTTACATCAATCATATCTAACATATACCTTTAGAACATACATGTACATTAGATGGTATTGTTGATTCAATTTACTGTTAAATAGTTTCTCCTCCTCCACCAACCCTTTCTTTCTCTAAAAAACAAAGAAATCATTAACCTTGAAGAAATAAACCAGTGTATAGTGGGAATAGATGGGATAACAAACATGCTTGCGTGGGTTGTACTTGGTCAGGCTTCCCCTTGTTTTCTTGGCGTGCTAAGAATGGAACGGAAGCGGGTGAAAGTTGAGCTAAATGGGAACGCTATATCTTTTTTAGGTAGTATAGATAGATAGATTTGTCGTGTATAGTACTGAATGGTTGGGACTAGTAGAGCGAATTTTTGATTGGTTTGTTTGTCATGGCAGTGGATCTATTGGGGAGACACGTGCGTGTCAACCTGACAATGGTTAACCATTACATGCATCCCCGTGGGTAATTACTCTATTAGGGGGCATGAATGGGCTAGTTTTACTGCCCACGGGAAAGTTGTTGGGTCAAATACCTTATACATCAGGTAAGACGGGGACAAGGATGGAATAGCATTACCCATACCTGCAGTGGTAGTGTTAGGATTGGATAATGACCCGGGCAACCCCAAGCTGATTGCATGCTACAGTGCCAAACAGTGACATGTATGCTACGGTACACAAAGAGATTTGAGGCCAACGTAGGCCATGGCCCACCCTGCCTGGGGCCTAGCGCCACCACTGCATACCCGTTATCCACCTTATCCGTGATGGCCTTATATGTGAGCCCTAAAATATTAGACCCTAGGTAATTCCACACATACCCACCCAAATTTCTACCATCCCCGCTATTTGGCCAAAAGAAGCCCAAAGAAAACCCTAAACTAACCACAACACATGGCCCCAAATGGCCTTACATGTTGTTTATTATGCTGAAATAATTTTTTTGTTGTTGAAATGTTGTTGTTGATTGCGGGTATGGGTTTCCCCACGGGGATGAAATCTAGATGGGGCCGAGGATGGGATTTTTTTATCCCCGTAGGCGAGGACGGGGATGGGGATAGATGTGGGGAGCCTATCATGGGGATGGGGATGGGTGTCCAATAACCGCATGGGTAATCCCCATTGCCAGCTTGACGTGAGTGCATCCTAGAAATGAAGGAGATGTGATTAAATTAGCAATTACCAAGCTGGATGGGGTTGCGGTCGGTAAAAGGAAATTGAGAATCATGCAAAGATCCTGCGATCGGTGGGGCTCGAGGGATGAATGACATACCCTTTAATACTAGAGATTATAGAGGGAATAGAGGGGAGAATAAGTGTGTGTCGGTTTTCACCTAGTTTTCTTATGTGCTAAGCATGGAACGGAGGCGGGTGAAGGTTGAGCAAAATAGGAACATTATGTCTTTTCTAGGTAGTGTAGATAGATTGATTTGCCGTGTACGATAGTGAATCGATTGGGATTGATGGAGAATTTTTTGGATTGATGATTGATTTATTTTTTATGATTGTGGATATGTTGGGAAGACACGTGAGTGCATCCTAATAAAGGAAGGAAATGTGATTGAATTAGAAATTGCTCAACTAGGTGGGGGTTGCAGTCAATAAATTAAAAGGAAATGGAGAATCGTGGAAAGATCCTACAATCGGTGGGGCTCAGGGGATTGAACGAATTATAGACACCCTTTTAATAGTAGAGATTATAGAGGGAATAGAGGGGAGAAGACGTGCATGCCGGTTTTCCTCTGGTTTTCCTGGTGTGCTAAGCATGGAATGGGGGAGGATGAAGGTTGAGCAAAATGGGAACTTTATGTCTTATTTAGGTAGTGTAGATGGATTGATTTGTCGTGCATAGTAATGAATCGGGGCTGTTGGAGACAATTTTTGTTTGGTGATTGATTTATTTTTTGTGACGGTGGATGAGTTGAGGAGACACATGTGTGCGGACGAGACTTGCCTGCTCCCCCGACATGTGCCCATCTGTGCTCCCGCGTACGTGGCTTGTTTTGATTGATTGGAACAAAATAAGGTCCGGCCCCACCCCCTTAAAATCAGGGGGTGATGATTAGATTAGAAAGAGAAAAAGAAAAAAGACAGTCGTAGGATGAAGTGGGAGCACGGATGGGAGCATGGGAAGGGAGCGGGCAAGCCAGATCCCATGTGTGCACCCTAAAAAATGAAGGATATGTGATTGAATCAGCACTTGCCAAACTGTGTGGGGTTGCGGTCGGTAAAAAATAGAGGTCAGTAAAAGGAAATGAAGAATCATGGAAAGATCCTTCGATTGGTGGGGCTCGGGGGATGGACTCACTTTAATAGTAGAGATTATAGAGGGAATAGAGGGGAGAAGACGTGTGTGCCGGTTTTCCCATGGTTTTCTTGGCGTGCTAAGCATGAGGCGGATGAAGGTTGAGTGAAATGAGAATGATATGTCTTTTTTAGGTGGTGAGATTGATTGATTTACCGTTTATGGTAGTGAATCGGTTGGGGCAGCTGGAGACAATTGTATGATTGATGAGTGATTTGTTTTTTTACGGAAGTTTATCGGTTAGGGAGACACGTCAGTGCATCATAAAAAGGGAAGGAGATGTGATTGAATTAACACTTACCATATTGGGTGGGGTTGCGGTTAGTAAAAGGAAATAGAGCATCATGGGAAGATCCTTCGATCAATGGGCTTGGGGGATGAACGACGTACAAAACATCCCCTTTAATAATAGAAAGTATACAGAAAATAGAGGAGAGAAGAGGTGCATGCCGGTTTTCCTGTGGTTTTCTTGGCGCATTAAGCATGGAACGGAGACGGCTGAAGGTTGAGCGAAATGAGAACGTTTTGTCTTTTTTGGTAGTGTAGATAGTGTGATTTGTCGTGTACTCCCTCCTTTCCGGTTTATAGGGCTCAATTCAAAAATCTCACCAACCAAGGTAGATGGTGAGTGGTGGAATACTTTTTGTAGTTTGCAAAAACATCCAATTAATGCTCTTGTTTCCTCAGAAGATTATGTTTACCAATGCATTAATTGCAATGCATGCATGCATAAAGTACATGCATTGGTCAATTTTCTCTTAATACTTGCATGCAATGATTTAATGCACCTTAAAATCTGAACTTGTGATGGGGAACAACCAAATTGAGCCTTATAAAATGGAAAAACTAAAATTTTGAGATAAGCCCTATAAACTGGAAAGGAGGGAGTATGATAGTGAATCGGTTGGGGCTGTTGGAGACAAATTTTTGATTGGTGATTGATTTGTTTTTTATGGCAGTGTTACATGTCCACCCAGCAGATCCAGCATCCTAAGAAAGGAAGGAGATGTGATTGGATCGGCATTTACCAAATTGTCCCCTTAATAGCAGAGATGTTGTACAGTAGGGAAACAAAAGTCTACAGTGGGCATCCCCAGTTTGCCTGTTATTGAATGACTTGCATTATGTGAGTTTTCGTGGCGTGACTTTCACTAGTAGGTTCTCTTGTCCATACGCCACCTACCATGCCAGATCAAGCCCCACCGATCAGCCTATCTCAAGGAGAATGAAAAGAAAATCTATCTATCAATGCATCCGTTTGTCTGACCGATGAAATGCCCGCCACCGTCAGACACAGATGAGTGGCAATCACAGAGTTTTACACGGAGGTGATCATTCATACCCTCAGTGACTGATCGGTGTAGCGTACGTCGTGTCCGTCTCCCATATATAAATACCTTCGGGCTTCGGCTAGACCAGCATCAACTCCACAAACTGATCACCTCCCACAATACCACAGTTTGAAGAGATGACGTCTGGGCAAGAGGCCATAGAAAAACTATCGCAGGAGCTCGTCGGCGGGCACGATCTCAACGCGAGGCTCCTGGCATTGCTGCGCCGTGGCCCCCTCGACGGACGTGGGCAGGAGGCGGCCGTGGCGATGAGCCAGGAGCTCTCCCGGGTGTTCATGGTGTCTCTGTTCATGCTCAGATCCGGAGACAGTAGCAGAATGGCGGCGCCAGGGGCGACCATCACTGAGGGTGGCATCGATCAGCGGACTCCGACAAATGATATTCCTATTTGGTACTACACTGCTGGCCTATCCGCCTTGTCACCTTTCCTGGCTACAGTCTTTGATGTTTCCACATGTACGTGATTTGTCACCCTGCTGCTGTTTTCATGCATGGAACAATACAGTGGTGGAGAAGAGGTTACTCCTACAAGGAAGGGTAGAGGAAACGGGGTTACCAGCAAGGAGATTACAGCCTCGCCTCATAGTGATGGCTACCAGTGGAGAAAATACGGGCAAAAGAACATTCAGAACAGAAAATTTGCAAGGTGAAGTGCTATTTTTTTTTGTTTTGTTGAGAATCAAGTGCTAATTAATCGAGACCTCAAATGATCTTACGTGGTGCCATCTCTTAATCATCGCGGGTACAATCCATATGGATGATGATGAGTGGACCCAGGAATTCTTCACCGGATGTTCACACATCAATTTTTTTGAAACTTTAAGAAACGTCCGAAATTTTAACTTTTGAATTCAGAAATTGCAAGCTATCAAAATTTTGAACTTTCAACAATTTAATATGGATTTTTCAAACCTTGAAATTATGCAACTTTGAGTAATTTGGGATTGTAGGGGGGAATCCGAAAAGGAAAAGGCAACCACACACGTGGGCTCGACCCCTTGTTTTTCACCCACTAGTCTCCACCAAATAGTCACCAAGATACTCCCCCGTTCCACAATATAGTGTGTGTTAGGTTTTTCAAATGTAGACATGTTTGCCCATGTTTACAGAAAAGCTATTGACATCTAAAATAATAAATAGATGAAATATAAAATACACTTTATGATGAATCTAATGATACTAATTTTGCATTGTGGAAGTTGGTATTTATAACCATGGTTAAATATAGACATCTTTTACTCTTAAAACTCATGTATATTTCATAAATTCAATGTCGACACAACTAAACTCTACCAAACTTGAGCAGGAGGCATCAATAACAAGAAAGAACTTGACTAACAACAAATATGACAGGAGGACACCAAAATGAGGAGACACAAAAGATTTACATGGAAACCCCTTGTAGGAAAAAGAAACAAGGGCGAGAACGAGCAAGATTCTAGAACTAGCATATTTCTACTATAAAAATAAATCAGGTATAAGCACTGGTGGAAAAAGGGCCTTTGGTCGCGGTTCGCAACTGCCATTAGTCGCGGTTGCGCAACCGCGACCGAACGGGCGCGACTAAAGGCCCCCCCCCCCCTTTAGTCGCGGTTGCTT